TATTTAACCGTCAAGATCGTGTATCGTAGGAACACAGTCTCGTGGGATCCTGCTCTCAAGTCGTGGCACAGGTTCTCTTTCCGAATTCCAGCCAGGGCGGAGAAGGAAGTCGCTCAAGTCAGCATAATTTGGCCTTGCGTATTTAGACGACACAATTGAGCGCCTCGAATAGGCAATTATAGCCTATTCTTATTGCTAGTAAGAGCCTATCAAGCACGAGAAGCGTGTCAGTCAAGACTTGAAACGTTAATTCTGATTCAAGGAACGAATACCTGCACTCAGAGGATGTGTCACGACGGCGACTTCTCGTGTCCGTAGTGGCGGAAACGGAAGACGTTGTCAACAACAGTTGGTCGTTTCCTAAGTTTCCTGGGCTGACACCAAGCACGTGCCCAACCGCCGGCTCGTCGTCGTTGCTGTAAGCCATGTCTCAGACATTCAAGTTATGATACAAGTAATAGGGGCAACTCTTTTGTCCGATTTACTTCTTGTATCAAGCCAAGCACTCGATAGCATCACTTGTTGGATTCTGGCATCTTGGCTGTTAGAGAGGCAGTCGTTCCCAACGTGTATTCATGCTTACGCACGGGCTTTGATCAATTATCTGGATATCCGCAGGTCTACCCTGGCATTGTTACTGAACCTGTCTCTTCCCCTACGTCAAGGCTCAAAGCCTAATGTCTTACTTCTGGCTCTCACGACTCGAAATCGCTCTCTCCTCTGTCCTTGCAATACAACGAATCTACAACTCTTTTACCATTCGATAGATCTTCGACTTATTGCCTGCATACATATTTAGAACCATCAAGACTCGGGTCAGAGCTTGTTCGGCAAGTTGACCGTCACTCTAGTATCACGGTCGGTTAGCAAGCGTGGCTTGAAAGCTCATGTCATCATCTGGTCTGTGCGTGGTTTTGACATTACTCTTTAGCGTGGATACACTATGTACTTTTCTATCTCCACTGCCCGCCGACATGACCAATCTCAGCTCGCGACAGGAATCACCTCGCTCATATGTCATAATGAGACGCCAACCGCCTTTATGCGACCATCAGAAGCTCGTAAACCATCTCACCGCCTGCAGGAACGCCGTTTCCTTGGCAAATTTCTGCACTGGGTCGGAAACATTGGCCCGAACACCAAAGCCATGCTCTACACCGCTGTACAGTGACAGCTGGTACGGTGAGCTAATGTTCAACAAAAGGGCTTCAAGTTCCGCCCGCAGACTCGGGGGCATCAAGCTATCGCCGTCTACAGATATTCCACCAAAGGTTAAAGATTTGTTCGAGCTCGTCACTAGCAGAATGATGAACAAGAAAACGCACCTGCAGCAGCAACAGCAGTTGGAGCTCCGATCGCGCTGACTTCCTCGTCTTCCCAAGCCGAAGGGTGCGCGGCGAATGCCACGTCCGCCTTGAGGGACCTTGCGGGGTCGGTAAAACGGAAGGAGTATCGGCCGCCGAAGCAGTACCCCGTTACGGCCAGCTTGGTGGTGTTCAAATTGTTGTTGATGAATTCGATAGCGGTGTTGATGACGGGATCGGTGACATCAGGCCCGTGAGCAGCCAAGAAAGCCGTGGTGTTGAAGGTTGGATCGTTCAGATCCGAAGGGGCAGGTTGACCATTAAACAGATCGGGTGCGACGGTGACAAAACCCGCACGTGCAAATGAGTCGGCAAGAAGTCTATTCTCAGTGAGGTTGATGCCAAAAACGTCGGTGAGATAAAGAACCGCGGTATTGGTTACTGCTGCGTGAGGAGGAGGCATCGTGATGTAGAGAGTGACTGGAAAAGAAGTTAGTTTCTTTCCTTTAGTCCCAACTGAGCCCTTCAGCAATGAACCTGACCTCCATCCACAACAACTTCTGTTCCGACCGAGGTTCCGTCATTAGCCACGATTGATGCATCTCCTCCAACTGGGCATGTCGAAGACTGTGTACTGCAAACCGCGCTGGCAACCCAAACCGCCATCAGCGTGACTGTGTTGAGCAACATCATCATGGTGGAGAATTGGCTCCAAAGATTCGTTTGCTAGAAGAGCCAGCTATGCATATGGAGAGATCGTGGTGAGTTTGGATGACGGGCAATAGGCTGGACTAGGAAGCAAGACTACAACAGGAGAACAACAAAACGTGTACATATGTTTTGAGCGAACAAAACTTGTATCTGCAACACTACGTTGCGCAGTCAGGAAGCGGAGGCTCTTCCTATATGAGACTATTATGTTGGCCATGATTCATAGAAGATTCGCCATCACATGGATCCCGGTGTCCAAGTAATTTGAGCGGAATGACATTTTTCCGTTCTGATATGCAGCAGAAGCTTCCGGTTAAGACGCTTGCGGGTTGCCAAGCTCCGTCGATTGAGACAATGTAAAGCAAGTCCCTCTAGATATGTGGTACGGAGGACATCAGACCTCGGCTGTTGACAGTCGCTCGCTTGGCGGCAATCTGCCGACTTCAGATTCAAATTACCCTGATCATCTCCCAGTTGTTGTGAGACTTTAACCAATGAAGAGGCACGGCTCTTGTAGTTTTTCACTAAGAATTGTTAGCTACTCACCACCAACATAATTTAGCACTCATCATCACAAGTCTTGATATTTTTCACTCGTGGTTCACAAAAATTGGAATAAATAAACAGTTCTCCAAAACAAATGGCAAAACATGTTTCTAATTTTCAGACGGGGTAGAGTCCATTTTTAAGCAAACATGCAAGGTGTTGTAATGAATACGCTTCAGTCATGTTTGTATTATACATTGTACATGGCAAGGAGGCCAGTCCGTCGTGTGACTCCAACTGGAGCCTTTCCTGTCCATGGTAAATTGTGATGGTTGGACTACGTTAGACGCTGTATCAGTAGACTCATAAATTTGACGCCAAGGTCAAAGCCATTGTTATGTAAAATATAATAGCGGCGGAGCAATAACAATTCTTTGACATCGAAAATCACGCTTCCTTGGTGCTTCGACTCAGACATTGTAAAGAAGTAACAATGCCTTGGTTGCCAGGTTCTGCATTGCCGTGCTTGGTAGAAATTGATAAGAATATATAATCGAGCATTGTGTTTCGCGGTGACACTCATAACCTGCATTACCTACCGTTATCGCCATCATATTTGTCTACATTTATACTGGCCCACCAGCAATATCAAAGACTCTATTCTCGTCAGCCTTAACCTCCAAGGAACTAAGCAATATATGTACGCGTGTCATTGTGCTTTGGGAGTGCAACTGTGTTGCTGGTGATTGGGTTAACAGCTGCAAAGACAGATGTGGTATAACTCAATATAGGCAGACCTTTCACAGTACAAGGCCTTGTGATGCCCACGCCACCCCCAGGCCTGTCAGCGAGTAGTTTAACAGATATTATGGATGCGTGTCTCTAGTTACCAGCGTTTGTTGAAGATGGGATTTGCACTCAAGTTAAAGACACCATCTTACTAGGGAGCAACAGACCTGATTTCAACCCCGCGCACCGTTCATCTCACACTATGCTTGCATATCTTAGTCTTTACGCAAACTTTCCCTCTTGAAAATGGCGCCTTGAGTTGAATATCGAAAACCAAAGCGTTGAGTGCTTCGACCATCGCTCGGATTTGGCTCGTCGGATTTGAGGAAGCTCAAAGTGTAGTTCCATCAAACATCAGAGTCTGTAAATAACATCATTTTCGTTAGCCTGAATTAATTAGGTAGGAGAAGCTTGGGTGTTCGCGCGTTCTATTTTTAAGGTGTCTATTTGCATACTTCTCTTCAGAGATGTGAAAGCTCGTTTCGATCGCCCGTTTGAAAAACAGCGGAGACTCTTTTTTCGGTAAATATAGTCAATTGAGATATCAAACTCAAAGCCGTCGTTTCAAAGATTTATCACTATCATTAATAACGGTAGGACCAGCACTACTAGATGGAGTAAGAGACGCAAAGTAAGAGGTAGAGGCATAGCTGGCGTCTGATTGTGAGTAATAGAAGAGAAACCCCCAAGAGAATTGTTCTCATATCACAGTGAGATCAGGCGATACCAAAAGATTTACTTGCTGGATTAGGGATCGAAGAGAAAAAGCTTTTCGCATGGTATCTCCCTATGTGGTATTATCAATTTCAGAGATTCTTTGCGATATGGACTGTGTCAAATAGACTAAGAACGCTATCACAACTATCGCAGAGTTTCGAATCCCTTTTGGGAAACTCTAAAAGAGGAAGACCAACAAGGTCTTAGATCTCACATTGCATCTCTCCAGACCGTGAGCATGGCTGGTATACAATGTCAGTACAAGTTCTTCGTAGCAGAAACAAAAGATATGACATGCATAGTATGCCTGCGCGATACTTCCTCCATCAGATGTCTGGATGTATGCAGCACAAAGAAGAACTGGGCTACGAGAGTCTGAGGCGGCTTATGTATACTGAAGATAGCCAAATACTGATCAGTTCAGTTGAAGAGGATAAAGTCGCATATCATGCTTGAGAATGGAATTTTGACGAGGAGTCCAAATCCAAAGAGCTCACGTCCAACAAGACACGCCGACCTATTGGCCTGCAGGTACTCGGATCAACTTTTGTAAGCATGCGAGGCCGAGGCCCTCTACGGAAGTACACAGCACTTTAGCTGGGCCGTCACGATACTCATAGACCTGCAACACTCCGCTAACAAGTAGCCTGACAATGTAGCTATGAATGTCGGCGGCCTCAGAATCAGCCATTGCTGGTATGCTTGGTCTGGTAGCTTCAAGCCACAAACGATGATTAGACCACTTGTCCCCAACATGATACGGATAATGTGCTAGAAAAGGAATTCTGAACTTCTGTAAAGCGCTAAAAGTAAATATTCAAGGACTAATGCTTACTATGTAGCGTTGGAGAAGGAGACCTCCAAACAATCAGAAGGGAGCAGCGAGAATATTAACATGCAAGATACAGCATTTATAGATTGCAGACTAAGATTAGTGTATATACTTTTAGTTTTGAATCAGGTAACAACAACTAGCATGGAAGCTAGTGAGGTGGGCGCATGGTTTAGTGGTATAACACTCCCTTAGCATGTCTTTGATCAATCAGAGCAAGTTGGGAGAGGTCTAGGGTTCGATTCCCTATGTGTCCATATATTTTTGCATTTTCTACCCAACAGATTTTGCTCTGCTTATTTGGAGGATGCTTGAGACGCGATTTGGAGGCGATTTGACCATTGCTTCGTTGGCAAATGCTATTTTTTAATTGTTTTGGGGGCGCGGGATCAAGTGACGTGTGGTAGCGGCTTCAGGAGTGAGGTTGAGTCAGCACAGGCTGACTCATCACACATGCACATGTAGCTTCCTTTCTGAGACACCGCACAACGGCTGCCATAAACCAAATGAAGGACCCTTGGGTCTAAGCAGTAAGAAAGGCCCGACAAGCGCTGACGTAGATAGCATGGCCGTATAATCACACATTCATATGGCAGCATTCCCTTTCAGCATACTCCGTCTTATGCATTGAACCTAATTTTGCCTTTGGCGTGATACACCACGCTACATCACACACCAAACTGTTGCGGATCGACAGGTCGGGTGCTTTGGCGACGATCGGAGCATCGCCTCGAGGAACGCAACCCTCCGGATGGGGTGATGCGCTGCCCCTTTGTGGAGTGGAGCTGATGGACGAAAAGGTGAATTGATTCGCCTTCGTGAACAGTACACGTATGATGGACTGACATATCCAAATTCACAGTACAAGATAGCACACATCCCAGCTACACTAGCTCGACGGGTCCTAGCGACTTCAATACCAAGTCTGGGTGCTCGGGGCGCCCAAGGCATTCCCCACGGGGTGGCTTTGACGCATGCCACGAGCCCTAGCTACCTATGGGCCTAGTTGTTGGCAAGTTGGCAAGGGATCAGTGAAAGCGGGCAGTAGCGTCATCTGAATCAAGTCCATGTTTTCTTCTGAAGAACCATGCGTTTCCAGTAGCTGCCAGATCGTTCCTTGTTGCGGCCTACTAGAACATGACAAGAGAAGCAAGGCTGTCCATGTGTTTACTGAGCCACAGGGGTCCCAGGTTCCCCCAGATCTTCCACAGGCAAACACACAAGGTACTTGGCAATTGGGTCCTGGGGCGCGGGATGACGGTGTAGTGTCGTCAGTCCTGCTTCAGGTTCTAGCAAGAGTGCCACAGCCTCTCTGCGTCTGTGGCTTGACAAGTGGGGCACGGCGAGCGGCAGCAGGGCCAGGTGCGGGAGCCAGACCTGGCAGCTGGCAACTCAGCTCAAGAAACGCCACAAGATCGACATGTCCACCCCTGCAGCAATTTAGCGGCGCAAGCGGGGCTGCTAATCCGAGCAGCTTCTGGCTGTCAGCTCTTCCCACGTTGACGACATTTCCCATACCTGAGAAAGGCCCTTGTGAGATTTGCCTTCTTTCGCTTCGTCCCCAGCCACTTGGGTGCCAGCATTTCACGGCCAGCTGCCGGGCACACCGCGTACCCGTTCCTGCAGCTATTTCGGAGCACCTCTTCCATACTTGCCATTCTCATGCAACAGAGCCTTCCAGAGAGCCCCCACCCGGGCAACCCAAACTTGGATGACAGAGGGCGGCGCGAAGCCTTAGCGGGCAGATCAGCCCTTTGGCCTAGTCTTATGGGACCATCGGCACCGTCATTTTCGTTCTGGGACCCCGCACGCAGCGTCCTGGTGATTGGTGACACTCTGGGCTGGCTGCGCCGGCTGGGGTAAGCCTGAGACAAGAGCCTCTGCCGATTGCAGGCTATGCATGCTTTGGCCTGGACGAGCTTGGACATGCTGGACGGGCTGGCAGCGGCAGAGCATTGGACTGCCGTCTGCTTTTGGTTTCTCTGGTGATCCCAGCCTGGCAACGCGTTGCATTGGCTGCAGCATGCCTGGGCAGCTGGGATGGCCATGACTGCCATGGGTTTGACACGCCCGAGGCGAACGCTAAGAGCTGGCTTTCCATTCTCTAGCAGGTCTTTGCTTCGATCTGCCCTCTTGGCACAGCAACTGTACGGCCCTTGACAAGCTGCTAACAGGTTTCACAGTTTCACTTCACGCAAATAGCCTTGTAGCCAACCTTGGTCGTTCGGTGGGCCAAGGTAGCTCTCCACCTGCCCGTGTTCAAGACAAAGCAGCGATGACGATGAGGCGGCCCCATGGCCCCTGCCTTCCTTTGCGTCTTGGCCCGGCAGAGGACAAACTTGTTTGCGGCATTGGCTGTTTGCCATGGGTGTTGCTGAAGACGGATCGCGATGATGCAATCTTCTCGACAGAGAAACTGAACGTTCTTGCTGTGTTCAGTGTGTACAAAAAGACTTTGTATCTAAAAACATATAAGGCCCGTGGCTTCCCCGTGTCTGGGTGTATGATGTTGATCTTCATCAGCAACAAAAAGCAAACTACCACCACTCCTACTACTACTACTACTACTACTACTACTTTGATATCCAAATCTCTTCTTTCTGAGATTAGCATCTACAATTTTTGTCTTGCACACGACTTGATACCCTACCAAATTTTACGCAACATGTCTAGCATCGTCAACAAGGTCAAGGAGGCTCTGCACTCCGACAAGCACTCCGAGACCGGCACCCACACCACCCACACCAGCCACGAGGCTCCCGAGGGCACCTACGGAACTCACAACTCCCGTGTAGCCAACGCGGCTGACCCTCGCTTCGACTCGGATAGAGATCACAGAGCTGCCCCCGCGTACAACGACCCAACTGGCACTCACCACACCGGAGTCCCTCACACTGGAGCGTCTCATACTGGTGCCCACCACACTGGAGCTCCTCACACTGGAGCTCACCACACTGGGGCTCCTCACAACACGGGAGCCTACGGCGAGACTGGCACCGGTGCTGGCTTTGGCTCCGCTGGAGGCGTCGGTGTTACCGGCGTCGGTGCTACCGGATACAATGACCCCGCTGGCACTCACGGTCCTCACGGCTCCCGCATGGCCAACGCGGCCGACCCTCGCTTTGACTCGGACAGAGATCACAGAGGTGCTCCCGGCGCGGTCGGCACGTCCCACTTGGGCGCTGGACCCGGTCCTGCACCCAACACTGCTGGCCCTCACAAGAACGACATGCTGAACAAGGCCGACCCGCGAGTGGACAGCGACCTTGATGGTAGCAAGACCTTTGGCGGTAACAAGACGGTGTCGTAAGTACGTGGCTGCTCCCTGCAGGTTGACAATCTAAATGAATTGGATGTTGACTGTAGGTGATTAGGCACGGACAAGGCGCGCACCGTGACCCCAGAGACGCAGCTCAGGTGCCACCCTCTGTTTTGAGGCAACACGTGGGAGACCCGTCCATCGAGCACGGTGACCACACGCATGGATACTCGGAGAGACATGGATCGATGTCTCACCAGGACGCGCATCGAGGCATTTGAACCTGAATCTGGGAAAAGGATATTGAATGATTATTATGACCATCCTGTATTGTTGTATTACTAAAATTAATCATGAATCGACTTGACTGTCCTTACTACTTGTGTTCTGCAACATACTGAGTGCAATGTGACTGTGAATAATATAAGAGGCTGTCGAATAATGTGTATAGAATTTTACTTCCTCACATGTGTTCAAAAAAGAAAGGGAAAAAAGAAGAAAAAAGATTCTGACCCCCAGATACATGTTGCACTTACTCTGCTAATTGGATCCATTCCTATTTCATACCAGTAATAAGACATTTATTAAACCTCCAAGTATCACCATTCGGATGAGCCTTCCTCTGCTTCAACTATATCGTCACAACGTTCTGACCTCGTCTCCAGCAACTCTAGCAAATAGCTACTTCGAAGAGCTGGAGACGGATTAAGTATCACCTCTCTCAAAGTTAAGCATACGAGTCTAATTTCCGAGATGTGAGGTTGTGAAGTAAAGTACATACACCCATTTCATCACCGTCATCATGTCCACGTAATAGTATTCCCCATCAAGCTATTATACGCATCGTCCAGAGCCTTCCTCTTGCGATTCTGCAAATGCAGCTCCTGATCTGAAACGACAACCTCATCGTCCTTGTCGCCCAGGCAGTATGGCATCCACGCGTGGATCTGCCCGTCCATACGCCCACTAAACACCGCTCCACCCGCTGCATTCGCACCACCGGAAACAATCCCACTGGAACCCGTGCCACCGTGCGCTCCGGCACCGCGCCAGACCAGCCCCGTGATGCGGTTCCGCACCGAGCGCTCCCCGGGTCTGCTCGCGTTGCGTACGCCAGCCAGCGCCGACGACGCGCCCGGCGGCCGCAGCCGCGTGACAATGGTGCCTTCGTGCAACTCCATGACGAGGATCTCCGTCTCGTTGGGCCAGAAGAGGAGATCCTTCTTGGGCGAGAGGAGACCTGTCGGGGTGGTGAAGAGCGGCACGTTGGAGAGCTGACCGTTGCGAATGCTGGGACCGAAGCTGACGAGTGTGTTGGCGCCGGTGGCGGCGTCCCAGACGCGGATGCGTCGGTCGTGGCCGGCTGAGACGAGGTATGCGCCGTCGTCGGTCCAGGCGAGGCCGTTTACGGGGCCGGCATGGGCTTTAGCTGTGAGGCGAGTGCCGTGCGCTAGAGGGTTGTTGGAGCGGCTTGTTATGCTGGTGCTGACCCCAGTAGTTGTCGTTGTGGTGGCACCTGAGCGTAATGCGGAAATGCCGATATTGTCTTCCTGGTCGAGGAGTGCGAGCAAGGGGCTAGAGCGTCGGATATCCCAGATACGAACGGCACCGTCGAGGGTCCCGCTTGCAAGAATGTGCTCATGACGCGGAGACCAAGCCAGCGCGAGGACGGCACCGCCAGTGTTGCCCATGGGCCGTGGTGGCGCGAGCGTCTGGGTGGCGGCGTTGGTGCGCAGATCGACGAGGCGGACGGCTGGGTGAGCGGAACCGCAGGCGACAAGAAGGTGGTGGGCGATGGGTGATACGGCGTGCGTGTACAGCTTGGAGCCCAAGTCCCAGGAGCCTGAGAGCTGGGCGCCCTCAGTGGTGTCCCAAATCTTGAGAGTCTGGTCGTAGGAGCTCGAGAGGAAGGCGCCCGGGTCGGTAGGGAAGAAGGAGAGGTGCGTGATGCCGAACTTGTGGCCCTTTGTGGTGGACTCGACTCGCGGGATTGTGGCA